TATATCGTTGGTAGATGAACAGCAATCTTGTAATGTTGAACGATCTGGCTATGTGAACAGTAATTTAGACTCAGATGAAGTATGTTTTACAGATGTCGTTTCATTGAATGCAAGTGGTTTAATCAAGGGGGAAAAATCGGAATCCTGGAATCTCGAATTCTTCTGGATTCCAAAGATTCCGGAGGATTCCGTAAGATTCCGTAGGATTCCATAAGACTCCGTAGGATTCTGTAAGATTCCATAGGATTCCATGAGATTCTCTTGGATTCCTTGAAACTCCTCTAGATTTTCAACAAGCTTCTAAAGCTGTCAAAGCACTCCCTCTGTGTCACCCTTAAGTTTGGTCGTACGAACTGAGCCAAAGTGGAGCTCATTAGTTCATACTATACCCATTTTACATGTATAGCACAATTAGTTATCAATAAGTATCGTCAATTGTCGCTAATGTTTTAAAGAAACTCCAGATTGTTCCCAGAACGGAACAATAGTACTGTGATATCGGAAGTACCACTTTCAAAACAGAACAGCGCACCTTAATTAGCCATAATTAGGTGAGTACTTGACTAATTAATACTAGTTAAGATAAGTATTCATCTTAATTGGCGCTAATTAGTCAACTATTTACCTTAATTAGTGCTAATTAGATGAGCACTTGCTTAATTAGTCATAGATAGCTGAGTAATAATTAACAATCAAGTAATTAGTACTCACCTAATTATGACTAACTAAGGTAAATACTCATCTAATTAGCGTAAATTAAGTTGAATAGTTGTCTTAATTAGTACTAATTAGTCAAATACTCACCTGATTATGGCTAACTAATGTGCGCTGTTCTGGTTTGGGAATGGCACTTCCGATATCAGAGTATTGTTCTGTTTTGGGAACAAAAATTTTTCTGATAGCTCAGTTCCGATAGCTGTATTTAACAGTTTGTCAAGTTAGAACTATTGGCCGACTGTTGTACTCCTAATTACGATGTTCTGACAATATTTTTATAATGAAGACAGAAAATGTTTGGATCACGATAGAGGTACGGGCTCGCATTTTGATCGGTTCACTTTCTCTATATGAAGTGAACCACATTTCTTTGACTAGAATGTTTGACTGACCTGTTATGACCCTCAGGTTTCCATGTTGATATCTTTTTCGTTCTGCCATTTATGAATTATATTCTATATTCTTGTATGTTTACTGATCTTAACCTAAGATATATATCGCAAGGGATCAATTTGCAACTTCAAGGTTTAAACAAAAGAGATCCTGAATGAGAGAATTACGATAAATGTTCTTAGACTGTTCTATTAATTGTTGATGCATTTAAACAGATTTTCCTGCAATAGTACTATTCCTAGGGACTTTTGGACTGAAGATTCCAAGGTTCTGTAGGATTCCATCAGGTTCTATTGGACTCCATGTGATTGCGTAAGATTCCACAAGATTCCAGGATTCCAGGATTCCGTTTTTTCCCCTTGGATATTATCCTATCGGATACCTGTAGGACACCTATCGGATCCGATAAGATCCGACTATCGGATTGATCGACCTGGGCTGCTAAGTCGACAGACTGATCCATGGCTGCGAAAAACATTCTCCATACTAAAAAAGCAAAAACGCAAATCAATGAAAGGAAAACTCATCAAAACTTTTCCACGGAAAAACCACACATCTTAGAAAATACAAGAATCTTTCGCAAAAAAAACTAAGCATTAAACCAGCTGAAAGCAAAACAATAAGAAACGGTCCAACACTACGCCCGTAGGTTTCATGCGTGGCTACACGAAAGCCATCTCAGCTGCCACCGTTCTCGAGTTACCTATACAGGAATCACACATTCCAAAGCCTCAAAGACTTTCGGAACACCAAAGCAACAAAACTGAAGCAACACTGCACGGAGCAACAATTCTAATACTGCCCTTCAAAATTCGATCTCATGAATAAATGACTAAACATTAGCTAACCAGACAACCAATTCCGAAAATACCACGAACTCCTTGCTCCCATTGCACAAATTTATATCAACAACACATTGATACATGCCCTGTACCACTGTTGAAGACTGTGCTTGGCATCTTCCCGCATCCACACAAGCTGCCATCTCCTGTCTGTCATTTCAGGCCCGCACCTTTCGTACCTCTAACAACAGCCACGACGCGATGTCTGCCAATTGGCGGTCACTACAATCAGAGAAGCCACATTAGCTTCCACGCATTTGTGGGTTGCCTGACCGCTCCATTCTCCCGGTCTACAACAGCTGCGATATTGTAACTTTCGCGTCGTGACCAAACCGTTTCCAGCCCTAGTCTCGACTACTCCGGTTGCGCCAGCGGCACCAGTTCCCACACAATGTCACTCGTTTCGAGCCAATCCTTCCGAAGGCTCTCCGTTCATGCCATTGACACCAATTCTCATATCAAGCGTCAGTCTTTTCGTATTCAGTCATAATTTCCACTCGCAGTACTTGCGTTGCCATCTTCCCATTTCCTGGTCAGTCCCTGCGCGAGCCCCGCAACAGTTGCAATGTGATGTTTGTCGTTTCGCGGTCAGGCCTCTCGCGGCATCCACAGCAGGTTCCATGTGATGTGCGCCGTTTCCTATTCACTTTTTTCGCAGTACTTGCAGCAGCTCCAATGTGATGTGTGGCGTTTCGGGACCAGTCCTTTCGCGGCGCCCACAACATAGGCGACCAGATGCGGAGCGTTTCGTGGCCAGTACTTTCGCGGCAGCCACAGCAGCTGCGACATGATGCGTATGGTTTCGTGGCCAATCCTTTCGCGGCATCCACAACAACTGCAATGTGATGTGTGTCGTTTCGTGGTCAGTGCTTTAGCAGCACCCACAGCAACTGCGATGTGATGCATGTCGTTTCCTGATCAGTCCTTTCGCGGCACTCATAGCAGCTGCGGTGTGATGCGTGTAGTTTCGTGACCAGTCCTTTCGCGGCACCCACAACAACTGCAATGTGATGTGTGTCGTTTCGTGGCCGGTTCTTTCGCGGCAACCACAACAACTGCAATGTGATATTTGTCGTTTCGTGGTCAGTCCTTTAGCAGCACCAACAGCAGCTCCGACGCGATGTGTGTCGTTTCGTGGCCAGTCCTTTCGTCGCATCCACAGCAACTGCAATGTGATGTGAATCTTTTTATGGTCAGTCGTTTCGCCGCACCCATAGCAGTTGCGACGTGATGCGTGTGGTTTCGTGGACAGTCCTTTCGCGGCACCCATAACAACTGCGATGTGATGTGAATGTTTTTGTGGTCAGTCCTTTCAAGGCACGCATAGCAGCTGCGATGTGGTGTTAGCAGGTTGGTGGTCAGTTCTTTCGCAGCACGGTCACCTTGTGAGGTGCCCTGTGTGTGTACCAGCGTGATTGTATTATTGGTTTTCGGGGAACTGATGAAAAAGATTGTGCGTTAATCGGATTAGTTTGTATACCGACTTATACCTTCTATACCTTCTTATATCTTCTTATATATATAAGGACCGATAGGACGTAGGGCAGATGCAAGGAGGTAAAGGAAGTGTAAGGAGGAATAGGAGGAATAGGGTATATCTCCTACACCTCCTTAGACCTTCTATGCCGCCTACACTTCCTGATACCTCCTATACCTCCTTATACCTGCTTACACATCCTATACTTCTTATATCTCCTATACCTCCTATAGCTTCTCTACGCCTCTTACCTCGTATACCTCTATATCCATCAACAGAAAATGAAAGAATCTTTCGGACATTCAAATGAATATCCTGGAAATCTAAATAAGGCATCGCACAGGCTACAGTGCAATAGATTGTAAGAATGTTTCAATCATCCATTGATTCATAGTTCATTTTGAAAACGAATACAATCAGTTCGCTGTTTATATCGTCTATCACCTTATATGTAACAGTTTATTTTGCACTCCTGAAATTATAAAACAATTCTTTACAGAGGAAAAATATTGTCAACAATATGTAATCAAGGTTTCATATTTTACCACTAGTGCTAAATTTGTATCTGAGTACTGATTCTAGGTTATTCCGAAATAAAGACATTAGAGATATATATCATTCACATCATCGATAAGAACAACCTATTGGCCAATACTGTTCTCAATGTGTTTCGTAATGGAGGGCCACAGGAAAAAAGTAAATCCTCAATCCTGCTCCCACATGTCCAATTTTTTCAAGCTTTCCAATCTCACCTATATCTCCAACATCCTCAATACATTCTGTGTCTCCAATACCCTCTATATCTCCAATACTGAGATTTCATTGCGTTCCAGGTGAAATTCATAGAACACATCATATGACACGAAAGTACATCCCCGCCTATTCTAATATTTTTCCCAGTACATGTGACATTCAGAGTACATGAGAGTACATGCCTACCTATTCTAAGATTTTTCCCAATACATTTGATATTCACAGTACATGAGAATACATGCCCACCTATTCTAAGATTTTCCCCAGTACATGTGATATTCAGAGTACATGAGAGTACATGAGAGTACATGCCCACCTATTTTAAGATTTTTCCCAGTACATATGATATTCACAGTACATGAGAGTACACGCCCACCTATTCTAAGACTTTTCCCCAAGGGGCAAAAAGACTAATCGGAATGGTTGGGAATGGATGGAAATGGACGGGAATGGATGAGAATTGATGGGAATGAATGAGAATGGCTAGAAATGGATGGAAATGGCTGCGAATGGATGAGAATGGCTGGGAATTGATGGGAATGGTTGGGAATGGCTGCGAATGGATGGGAATGGAAGCGAATGGATGGGAATGGATGCGAATGGATGCGAATTGATAGGAATAGATG